TGGGCAGGACCTGAAAATAGGCGGTCCTCCTTAACCGTCAGTGGCTAATCTTCTCTGTATGGTTCCAATCTGTTTAACGGATGTTTGAGGGACAGATACGCCACTCGTCATTTCTTGCGGTTATGCTATTAGTGAAGAATGCATGGCGTGCCATAGGGTCTCGCTCCAGTGCTTAACATTGTACATGGATTCGTACCTTTTAGACCAGGTGCATCTGGAGGAGTCAACATTTTTGAAATTTGAATGTTTCTTTATTACGACTAATAGCTTGAGATACATATGGAGTGCCGTGTAGTTGAGCGAGAGCCGATATTTGTTTGAGCAGGTATGGACCCCAATGATGACTTTATGCCATGGCAGTTTATGCATTTACAATTTTATATAATTGCTGAAAAAAATGATTGGAAATGATTGGGAACTTTGTGACTTGGCATGGACCGGACTGCATTTGGAAAATCATTGACAGGATATTGACCCCCCGGAATCAGGAAGCACATAGGGGTTAGTACTTAAACCACCACTACCTTTCCCAGTGTTGGGAAAAATGGGAATATATGTCACACCACATTTTTTGGCGGTCCAGCAGAGGGTTGGCGAGAAGAAAATGTTTGGGCCTTGTGGGCCCGGACCGAAAAAGAAAAGAAAAAAAAAAGCTGCATAGTTGAAATGGAAGGATGTCGGGGGGGGAAGCTGTGAAGGAGGTGTGCTCACAGTTGTGCTTCCAGGAATGCATCGGCCCTGAATCATTGCTTGTACGGTCCTTTGTTTTTTGTTTTGTGTTCTCTTCTCCTCATTCTGTTTTCGTGCCCTGCCAACGCCGCAGGGCGCTTTCCACGAACAACTGACAGTTGTAACCGGAAAAAAAAAAAAAAAAGCAAAGCTGCTTAGCTGAAATGGAAGGGCGTCGGAGAGGAAGCCGTGAAGGATCTGGGCTCACAGTTGTGCTTCCAGGAATGCATCTGCCCAGAATCATTGCTTGTATGGTGTTTTGTTTTTGTTTTTTTCTCGTTCTGTGCCCTGCCAACGAGGCAGGGCGCTTTCCACGGACAGCTGACACTTGGAACAGTGTGGGCACTCTCACATGTACTCAAGTTGAGGGCCGTAAATCCCATTGGGAGGGGACATACTAGTTGCTGTTTCCGTTTTATTTCTTTTTTTTCTTTCCATTTCCGTAGAGTACCAGAAAAGAAAATACAATGGGTCCAAGGCTCGCTAAAGCTCGCTGCGAAGTGAAATTCAGGGTCTCGCATGATTTCTTGATTTATGCATGTCATTCTTGTGGAGGGGCTATGCTAGAGGGAGAGTAGCAGAAGAGGACAGTGCCTACAGTGTCAGTGAACCAGGCAGATGCCCCGGGGACGATTTCTTGATTTATCCATGTCATCCTTGCAGAGGGGCCATGCTAATCTTCTCTGTATGGTTCCAATCGCTTTAACGGACGTCCCTCGATGTCCCGAGGGACAAATCCCACAATCACCGACTCATGCGATTATGCTATTTAGCGAGGAATGCAGGGCGTGGCATGGGGTATCACTCCAGTACTTCACATGCTACATGTATTTGCATGCCCTTTTAGACCCGGTGCATATAGAGGTGTCCAACATTTTGAAATTTCAATGTGTCTGGATGACGAATAGCCCAAGATACACATGGAGTGTTGTGTAGTTGAGGGACCCTATATGTGTTTGAGCAGGTACAGAACTCAATGATGACTTTATGCATTTATAATTTTAAACGATTGCTGAGAAATGAATAGAAACTTCGTGACTTGGCATACACGGGCCTGCATTTGGAAAATCATTGGCGGGATAGTGCCCGGCTCTCTTCCTCCCCTTC